CCACTGCCGGTTCAGTCCCAGATGCAGCTGCTTCGGTGGCCCTTGGCAGCCGGGACCGAGAGCCAGGAGAGCGTGGCCACGGCTGCGGGGAAGACCCAGTAACGTGTCTGTAGCGAAAGAGTGAGTGGGAAATAAAACCCACGGGGACGCTGCGTGGGCTCTGGTTTAACTGGGAGATGCCACGGGGAGGGCTTGTGATTGTCTAGGGCTGCTGCTGGGCTGCGGGGGGAGTTGTGTGCGGGGCCGGGTGTGCAAGGTGCGGTGCTTGGTGCGCGGTGCGGGGCTGGGGGTGCGGGACGCGCTGTCCGGGTGCCCGGTGGCCGCGGGAGGGGCGGGGCCGGGCGGGGCTGCTCCGGCGGCGCGGGGCGGCGGCTCCCGGTAAGTCTCGGTCGCGGTGGTTCCCGGGTAAGTCTCGGTCGCTTAGGCTCTGCAGAGCCGGGAGGTTGTGCCGAGTCGGGCGGCACCGCGGGGCGCCGGGCTTTCCCCGCCCCGGGGCTATCGCGGTTCCCCGCGGGCTCCCGAGCCCTCCCGGGGGATGAGCGGCCCTCGCAGCGCTCTCGTTCTTGCCGGCAGCACCGGCTTCGGTGAGACCCCAGAGACAGCGGCGAGGGGAACCCCCGGAGCCCCGTCCCGCCGGGTCCTGCGCTCTGTCCCCGGGAGCGCGGCGGGAAGTGTCCGGGCTGGTGCACAAACGGCTTCTCTTCTCCCACCGCACAGAGCCCGGGAGCGCCGGAGCTCGCCATGTATCCCAGGATTAAAAACCTCGCGCTCTACGCCTGCTCGATCACGCTGCTGGCCTGGGTTCTTTATGTGAAGAAAGAGGCAAAGTTGGCAGCATCCTCGGCAGACCAGAAAGTGGACACAGCAGATCCCAAAGCAAAGTCTTTGGCTGTGGAGAATGCTGAACCCAGCAAGTGTTTGCCAGACTTGACCCTTGCCAATTCCTCTCTCGCTCTCCCAGAGCTTCACCGTGTCTTCTTGACATACAAGCACTGCCGGAACTTCTCGGTCCTGCTGAAGCCTTCCAGGTGTGGCAAAGAGACCTTCCTCTTGCTGGCCATCAAGTCCTCCCCAATCAACATAGACCGGCGGGCAGCCATCAGGAACACCTGGGGGAAGGAGGTCTCCATCAGGGGCAAGCAGGTCAGGCTGGTTTTCCTCCTGGGGCGCTCTGAGGCCAAAGTCCAGGTGCAGCCCCTACACCAGCTGCTGGCTTACGAGAGCCAGGAGTTTAATGACATTGTACAGTGGGATTTTGTTGACAACTTCTTCAACTTGACCCTCAAGGAGCTGCATTTCCTCCGCTGGTTCACGGAGGACTGCCTGCCTGCCAGGTTTGTGCTGAAGGGTGATGATGATGTCTTTGTCAACACTTACAATATCGTTGAGTTCCTCCAAGAACTGGACCCTGAACAGGATCTCTTTGTTGGGGATGTGATCACCAAAGCCCGGCCCATCAGGAACACCAAAGTCAAATACTTTATTCCAGAGTCCATGTACAGAGACCCCTTCTATCCCCTCTATGCAGGTGGAGGGGGATATGTGATGTCTAGAGAGACAGTGCGTCGCCTCCAGAGCACTGCAGAGCATATGGAGCTCTTCCCAATAGATGATGTCTTTGTGGGAATGTGTCTGGCAAAGATGACAGTGACCCCAAAGAACCACGCTGGCTTTAAGACTTTTGGGATCCAGAGACCTTTCAACCCTTTTGATCCGTGCTTGTACAAGGGGCTGATGGTTGTGCACAAACTAAACCCGACCGAGATGTGGATCATGTGGGCGCTGGTGAAGGATGACAGCATCAGGTGTGCTGTGTCTATCACACACAGCTACAGAAGGGCTTGGAGAAGAAGCTACTGACCAGCACAGCAGGATTTTGAGCGGTGACTTGAACTATAAACCAGGTTATGGTAGAAATGTTTACTAACAGAGACTGTACTTGAGCCCTAGGGGTTTGTTTTGAAGTAACTCTTTTTCTATGGGTGAGTTACTGAAGCAGTTGAGTTGTCAGGGGGTGGGGATGGGGCCAGCAGCTCTGTGAGACAAGACCCAGGGGACTCAGCTGAGATGCTCCCAGCCACACTGGAGCCAGGGGAAGGCACATCTGCCACAGGGACGTGAGTGAAGGGTCACCTGCTGTGGAGGCTTTGCAACACCAGGGCTGGTGACTGACTACTGGCCAAATTCAGTCTCGTGTAGGAGGGCTGATGATGAGTAAGGAGTGACAGAGCACTTGCAATTACTTGAAGGGGTGGAAGAAAGGCCACTATTCTGCTGTCCCAGGCCAGCAACCCCACAGATCCTGCTAGACAGCAGGAGAAAGGATTTAAAAAAAAAAAAAAAAAAGCCTCAAAAATGTATTGCCTTAAAACAGTATGTTGATCCAACGGACTGGGCTCCAACTCAAGCCATTGGGATTTTACTTAAGTTTATTACAGGTTTATTTGCACTGGAAGCTTTTGCACAAACACTTTCCGGTTGGGTTTGAGAGGAGCAAGTATGTCTTGAATAATCATGGTGGTAGTGACAGTGGCTGTAGCTTTTCATGTTGTGTGGAAGGTGTTTGAGTTTTGTTGTTGTTATGTTGAGTATAAATAAAATACAATTTTGAAAAGTGTTTTCATGGGAGTATTCTTGGCTCTCCTGAAAGCTAGGAGAACTAGAAGCCAGAGAAGGCTGAGATCTGATGCTGGGCATTTGCATGAAGGAGTTGTTGATATTAAAGCAGATAAGGTTGTGTGCCAGTGGAAACTTGCCACTTCCTTTGCTGTCAGCAGCTGCCATTGGCTGCCCCTGCCCTGATGTGTTGCTGCAGAAGTGATTAATCTCTGAGTGTGCTGGAGTTGCTAATTTGAGGAAAAGCCAAATATGAAACTAAGATTTGGTGATATTTTTATGAAGCTTACAAGCTTCAGGATGTCTTGCTGCTAGATGAGGAGTTGCTGTGCTGTGTGTGGGCAGGAAGCAGCCTGAAAGTTTTAGGAAGAGGCAGAGGGTAGAGAGGAAGTGTGTGATTACAGAAATCAGAGCTATTCATGTTGTGCTGTTGCCACTGCTGTCCAGTGCCAGCTGCCCAGTGTTCACCACACACATGGGAGCTTTCAGAGGGGCCTGGGAAGTGCTTCCGGGAGGTGGTTACTGCAGAGACTAAGGACATCCTGAGACCAGAGGTGTGACCAGCTCTCAGGCAGGCTGGCTGCCCTCCTTGCAGTGTGCTGCTGCAGTGCTGTGTGGCCCCAGGTGGGGGACTCCTCGCAGTAGAGCTGCTCCTTGTTTGATCCCTTCCTGCCTTGGCTTCCTGAAGCACCTGGGGTAGTTCCTGCTCAGCCCCACAGTGTGACCCAGGCAGTTGTAGCAGGAGTGGCCACTTGGACAAGATGTTTCTGTGCCAGATGTGAGTAGGAGTTTGAAAAAAATTGCTCTTCCAAGGCTGAGCATGTATGTCTGTGTGTGTCTGTCTGTCCATCCTCAGTGTGGTCTTGTATGAACGGCTACTGTGTCTTCTCACTGCAGCCCTACCAGGGATTAACTAGACCTGAGCAATTGTCTGCACATCCTTTCAGATATGTTGGCTGTGTAAACAAGGCTGAGTTTCTGGGCACTGTTCTCTGGGCACTGCTGCTGGTTCCAGAGCTCCAGACCGGACAGAGTGGGTATCGTGGTACCTCATGAGCTGCTGTGGCAGCATTTTCCTGATCCACTAGATGATTCCAAATGCAAACTCAGTAACATAATGTAGAGTGTAATGTCATGTCTGTTGTGGGCTTAAGAGTATGGCCTAAACCCCTGATGGGCAACTCTCACCTCCTAACGAAGGTGTGGAACTCTTTTCCACTCCATTTTGGAGGTGAGACAGGGGCACTTGTGCTGCTTACTCCCCTTGTGACTTGACCAAAGTGACAAGTTGGCTCCTGTCATGTCTGGAGGTTATGTGTGTGTGGGTACAGCCTGTGTACAGTGAAAAAAGAAGTGGGACAGCAAGGGGGCTTGGAGCAGGCTCTGAAAGGGGAAGAATTGTTTGCTTTGCAGACTCCTGTATCAGCACTCATCTGTCTTAACTCATCTCTCTGCCATGCAGCATCTGAGTAGGGTTCTTGTGGTGTCCTCAAAGGAACACAATCTCTGTGTGCATTTGGGTCAGTAGCTTGGCAGAAGTTCTGAAACTGCAGCCTGTGACAAACTGGAGCAGTTGTGGTTAGAGGCTGACCTGAAGTTGCTTTTGGCTCTTGAGGGTGTGGTTGTGCTGCAGCTGCAAATAATCTGCTCGTGACAGTGGGGTTTTTTTTCCTAATGCTGGATCCAGCCCAAATCCATGTTTGGGCTTTCCTGACTCCTGGCACTGGCATCTTCCTGTGAGCTTGAATTATAGATTGTCCCACCCGCCTTGGATACAGCAGCACCCAGTGAGGAGCAGGAACAAGAAAAGGTGCTTTGTTAATTCCTATAATGCACAGTGCTGTGCAGCTGAGGGTGCACTGGTTCAAAGGAAGAGAAAAGGAGACAGCTACACAGGCTCATGCTACAGCTGAAAAAAATCCTAGTCAAGCACAGCTCAATTTAGTAGTAGCACCCTCAACACAGATGTTGTGCATCAGATGCTCATTTGTGGTGAAAACCCCCATGATTAATGTGTATTTTCTTACAGAACCCGATGGATGGTGATTAACTGACACATCAGCAGTGCTGAGGTGCTAGTGGCTGCTATTCTACAAAGCAATCCCAGCTTGGGTTTACATTGTCTATACAGTTAATATTGCAAATTCCACATCAAGCTGTTGAGTTAGAAAAGGAACAGTGAAAGACACCTGTGGTTTGAAGCCTGCAGTGAAACATTAAGGTTGCAAGAAGAGAGAATTATTTTCCTGAAAGATGTGCTGGAAAGCATTCAAATATCTAAAACTCAGTGTTGCTCACTGCTTTGTGAAGAAGTACACAGCAACCAGCTGCTACAATGGCTGTTTATAACCACAGTATCTTGAAAATCAAACCTCCCTTTGCTTCCTGGGGAAGCAGGTGTGTTACGAGTGGTGACTCTTGGGTGGAAGAGGTTGCTACACTGAACTGCAGAAGTTCACCCAGAGCAGCCTGGGTAGTTCCACTGGAAGTTTTCAGCCCTACAGCAAATGTTTCCCCTGACTGCAGCTCAGTGTGATCTGATGCAGTTGTCACTCAGCTCTGTTACAAATTTTTCAGTTCCAAAAGAAAACAACACTTCATCTCTTAGCCAAACAGGCACACTCACAAGGAGATGCTTTTGTACAGTTTAATAGAGGTATCTCCTAACTGACACCATTTACATCACAGGTGAAAAATAAGGACTTTTAAATACACTTCTTTGGCTGGTATCCAATCAGCCTCTAAATTAGAGAGCTCTTACAAACATCAAACGAGCTGTAGGACCCTCCCAGCAGAGACAATTAACAACAAGCTATCCTTGATAGCAACTTTCACATTTGCATAGTTAAACATTTAAATAATTGAATCCATAAGTATTACAAACATGATAAATTATAAACAAGATCAAGGCCTTTCAGATGCTTGGACTTGATTTGTAAAGCAATCCTGTTTGGGGGAGGGAAAATGGAATAATAGGCTTATTTCAGGAGTTTCCCACTATCCCACACTCAGAAGTTTTGGATTTTTCAATTTGTGGTTGACTCTCACATGTTCTGTGGTGACACTTCAACTCTCCTCAGTCCTCCCGAAGGTAAGGGTCATCACCTGCCTCTGTGCTTCCTAGAATACCCTGTGGCAATGATTCCTCTCCTTGAGCTTTTATGAGCTCTTCTGTTTGAGCTTCAGCTAACTTGGTCTCTGCCTTCTGGGACAGCTGTCTCACCTCTTGTACCTGGGATTTCACCAGCTGGATGTGGCTACGGGCTGTGACTGAGGCTTGGTCTGCACCTGGAAAGGAACAAACACGTTGGGTGAGAGGAGCACTCAGCAAACCTCCCATTAAGGAAGTGACTGTCTTTAATTATCATCTGGTTTGAGAGGTGTTTTGAATGTTCTTGGGCTATGTTACTGCTAAATGCATTTACTGTTCATTTACCTTAAAAAATAATATCCTTACTTCAAGATTTTTTTTGCCCCCCATAAGTTGTTCCCACCCAAGGGGGTTGATAGCAGCTTCTGATGAGAGCCATCAGCTTGGCTGCTCTGAGAACTAAGCACAGCCCAGGCATCATGTGCCAGGATTTTTGGTCCTTGTCCTGTGACCTGCCAGCAGTGGGAATGTCTGTGGCACTGCTGAACTGGGAATCCCTCCTCCTCCCATACTCCTTCTGTGCTTCTACAGATTGTGTGTCTTTTTCAGGTACTGACAGAATTAGGGTGTTCCCTTCACTTTCCTCCCCTTCTCCACTCCAATAATTCTCCCTTTTTATCACAGGTCAGCCCAGTGTTTCAACACTGCATTTACAAATGACTAAACACTTCCCTCAAGTATTTTTTGGCATGGTTGGTCCTGATCTAAACCACGTGAAGTTTCCAGGCCTTGTTCTCAGAAGGCTTCGACCAGACCTGTAGCCAACAGAAGAAGAATCTAAGTTCTCAGCACCTCTAAAAACCAGGCAGTAGCTGTAAACTGATATGTTTGCTGAACTGGTAATTCTGTGCCTCTCTCAACTCCATTCCCATTCAGTAAATGCTGCCTAAATGTGAGAGGAAGGAAATGGATGAGCTTACCTGACTGATAGGCAGCTTCTGCTGCCATCTCCGAGAGACGTAAGGCTGTCATCCAGCTGGATTCCAGCCGCAGGTATTCCTGCTGTTTTGCTGTCATCTAGGAGTAAAACAAAGTTATTTGTTAGCTTGATGTAACAGTATCCGAGTGCTTTTCCAACCAGGGCCTTTGTGACAAGGTGAGCAAGTGAGATGAGAAATTTCTGAGCAGTTTTAAGACACCGATTGCTGCCTGGAGGGAGACAACTGCTTACATCAACTCTGGCTCCTATCACCACCTGCCAGACTGCATCCACCTCTTCAGAATTCATCTTCCCAAGGAGATTTGCATATTGCTTGTAGAGAGACACCAAGGTATAAACTGCCTGCAAAGGAATAATTTCACACAGTCACCTGGCAGTCTGTACATCTCTGATCTTGTGTCAGTGTTCACTGGTGGCAATTAGCAAAACTGCTGAATGCTTCCAAAGGTGCTTTGTTCTCAAGGTCACTGCAATTCCAGAGGCACTGGCAGTGCTTGCTGTTTGCCTGGAGTAATGCTCTGGACCTCTCTCTATATATTTGACAGACTAATAAGGAAGTCAACTAGTCTGTATATTTGACAGACTAATAAGGAAGTCAACTAGAATGCAAATAATTTAGCGAAATTGGCACTTATTTACAAAATTAAAACTGTATCTTGTTGTTTCAGACTTAGATGTGGCTCGTTCCATTCTTCTGAAGAAGCTGAAGTTCATAGCCTTAGAAATGGGGACAGAAGGTAAATAAAATACCTAGGAATACAGGGTGGTGTATCTTACTAGTGTGCAGGTATCCAGCAACTATGAGGAGTTTCTTTAGTACCAGTTCATTCTGGCTCAATTTCAAGCTCAAAGCAACAGTCTAACAAAGCTAAGAATACCTTCTGCACTTGGTGTAGCAGAACAGTGAGCCCTACCCCACTGCTTCCTGGGGACCTGACATCTTCAAACCCCCACACCTCTTTTATTAACATGCATAAAAAACCAGAGTCCAATTCAAGTGTGGCTTAACAGGTGCAGTTACTGCCAAATAATTTAGTATTTATGCTTGGACTCCATGATCTTAAAAGGTCTTTTCTGTCATTTCTAGTATTGCCTTGCTAGCAAAGTGTGTCATGTGTCAGCTCACCTTTGTGTACTCTGTCAGTGCTTCAATCAGTGCATAGGTTGTTTGAGAGAGGAGTGTAGAAGTGCTGTCTGTTACCAGGGAAACTGCTCTTTTGATCAAGGCTTCATTACTGAGAGCGCTGGAGCTCTGCTTCTGAAAGGGAAGAAATGTGTGTGTGATCTCTGCACGGACTTTCATGCAGATGTGGTTAGCAACAGGTAAGGAAAAGCACCACTGTTAGGTAGGAGGCTGGCCAGCCTGATTCTCACTCCCCTTTTGCCTTTGTAAAACACAGCAACTGTTTTTGCAGGGTGTTACTGAGGGTCAGGCCCTGCCCTCCTCATCTCTCTTCCTTCAAAACTACATGGCTTCAACACCTGTGATCCCCAAGAAGGGGAATACAACTCTGAGGGTAAGTACTGGGGGTAAGTACCAGCTGGTAAGATGCCAATTAAGTGGTTTTTAATATTAAACTGCTCCTAACGAGCGGGTGCTGAACAGATCCCAGCCCTGATACCTCACCTCCACGACTGGGACTGCACACAAGGCCACTCCCAGCCCCACCACTTGGCGCCATCGTCCCTTCCCTCCCAAGAGGCAGCGTCCCCTGATGGTGGCCAGGACAGGGAAGTTTTGTCTGGAAAGGCAAGAAACAGAGTCAAGTGAAAGAAATAAGCAGTGTGTGGTGGGAAATAGGTATCAAAGAACACCTGGAAGCTGTTCCAGGTAAATTAAGTCTTTGCCAAGCTTCTGTAATGCAGCTGCATGATAATTAATGAGTATAGTTGTTTTAAATGGTTCTATTACTTAATTATAAGTGCAAGAAAAGAAGACAAGCACAGTAACTAGTGCATTATTGGTCCTTTGAGAGAGGAAATGTATCTTATTTGCTGCCAACACACTGATAATGTTCAATAATGTTGAAAAAAAAAAAAAAGCCTGTTTAAAGGTGATCCATGGTAGGTGCAGTTGAGCAACACAACTGGTAAAAGTTTGCTGGGACGCACTGACACTCCAGGCTTCCTGTAGTCAGTTTCATACACATCCAACGTTGTGGAGGTGTCCATGGGGCCAGGGCCCAGCACTGAAATACTTCAGCACTGAAATCTTCCAGCAGAAGCACCCAGTCGTGAGAATGTTTCTTGTTGTACAGAAAGTTTCTGAAAATAACTGCTCGGTTTTCCTTTTGTGTTGTATAGTCTGCAACTAGACAGACCAGTGGCTAGGGGTGCTTGGGTACCACAGTTCCTCCCGCTACGGCTATTCCAGCTGTGCTGTGGCATCTGGGGACAGATGAGGAGCGTTATGGCCATTTCTGTGGCTCCAGCC